TCGTTATGTTCCATTGTCTTTTTTACGTAAGTCAGCTTTTCCCAGTCCGCCGACGTGTTATTAGCGTACACGCTAATTATTACGTGCTTTTGAAGGACCACGCGTAATTTATACCTTTACGAGATTTTTCTTAAAAATCGTCATTGAAAGGGGACAGATTTTGGATGCCAGATGACACGAAAGTATTGCGTACCTAATTAAAAGTTGGTCCTTCGATTTGGCGCGAGAATCGGCTCCCATAGATCACGAAAATGACGTAAACAACAGTTAATTACCATGCCAAAAGTTCTAAATCTGAAGGTTTCGGGACAATAGACGTAATTAGATTCGAACATTACCGTTGAGGTATGTGTGAATGGGTGATTGTGCAAGTGAAGATTAAAGGTCTGCCGACGTCTACTTTGCATTTTTGAAAGGACTGGGAATATTACTTTAAAAGCGCAAAAGTCGATCAAATTTCACATAAAGTTACACAATCAATATTAATATTACCCACAACTATAACAAAGTCCATGTGCGGTTCTTTGTGGGTATATAAAATCTTCGTTCTTCGCTATGCATCATGAGGTACAAACTTTTATAAATGGTTTTTTTGCATTTTTATGTCCGATGCCTCAGATTCCCTTTCCGAAGTGTTCTTGAAAAATTGAGCAAAACTTTCAAATTCTTCCTCTTTAACTGATTTTTCGACTTATTCTTCTACTCCTCGATTACCCCGACCCTTCGAATTTTATCAATTCTTCACTTTGGGTTTCATCCGACCAATTCTTCATTTTATTCTATTTGCTCACTTCCGTCGAAGAATCAAAAGGCGAGGGGAAAACAGATTTCCCAAGAGGCGGTTTTCTTTAAAAGGTCTGTGATAATCCTCCAACAATTTTTGTTTTGAACTTTACTATTAGAACTGTTTTGAAATTGAAAGTATTATTGCCTGATGTTCAGATTCCTCTGATTTCTCGAATTCCTCAGATTCTTCGAATTTTTTGAATTCTTCTGGTTTTTTAAATCTTCCAAATTCAGATTTTTTAGGTTCTTCAGATTCTTCAAATTTTGAATTTTGACCTATTTTTCAAAATGTTCCGGCTCTTTTGATTCTTAAGATACTTCAGATTTTATAGATCTCTCTTATTCTTCAGATTCTTTGTACCCCTCGATTTTCACAATCTTCAGATTCTTTAGCATTTTAGATCCTTCAGGTTTTTCTTACCCTTCAACACCTTGAGATTTTCCAGATTCCTTACATCTCTCCTATCATGCAGATTCTTCGGATTCCTCGTGTTCATCAAATTCCTGGCATTTTTCGGATCCTTTAGATTGCTTTTTGATTTTTTAGATTCTTCAAATCATTTGGATTTTTCAAATTATTGGAATTGTTCAAATTCAAATTTTTCATTCCCTTCGGATTCTTCAAATTTTTCAGAATTACCGTTTTTTCCTCTACGTCTTTCGTATCTTTCAGGTTCTTCGGCTTAATCAGATTTGTCGCATTTTTAAGACCCTGCAGATTTTTTGAGTTTGAGTTCAGATTAGTCAAATCGGATATCTCGAACCATTCCGATTTTTCGAGTTTTTTTTTGATTTTCCGATTTCTTTACATTTTTCGGATTGTTCGAATTCTATAAATTGTTCACATTTTGCAAGACTCCTCGGATTCTTCAGATTTTTCTTCGGATTCTTCGGTTTCTTCAGATTCTTCAGATTCTGCACATTCTTCACGTTCTTCGGATTCTTCAGATTCTTAGATTCTTGAGATTCTTGAAAATCTGGAGACTCAAGTGTTTTCAGGTTCTTATGATTCGTGATGCCCTTGATACTTTGGAGACTTGAGTTTCTTGAAAATTTTTCTGGAGATTTTTGACGTTCTTGGAAATTTTTATGATTCTTAAATCGTAAAAACTAGACCTACTAGATTTTTCTTTCTTAAAGATTTTCCTGAAACTCACTTGCAGGCTGTAGGCAGGTTCTTACGTTCTTGCTGATGTACGTCCTCCTGAAATTATTGAGATTGTTGAGATTCCTGAGAATCTTTAGAATCTTGAGCTTCTTTAGATTCTTCAGAATCTTCAAAATTTTTCAGATTCTTCATATTATTCAGTTTCTTCATGTTGTTTGAGTTCTTCGGATTCTTCAGACTCTTAGATTTTTGAAAATCTGGAGACTGAGGTTTTTTGAGGTTCTTATGATTCGTGAGGCTCTTGATACTTTGGAGACTTGAGTTTCTTGAAACAAAAACAAAAAGTTTGAAATTGTAAATCCTAGACCTACTAGATTTTTGTTTAAGCATCCTTAACATTTTCCTGGAACTCACTTTGAGGCTGTAGGCAGATCCTTCCGTTCTTGCCGATGTACGTCCTCCTGAAATTATTGAAATTGTTGAGATTTTTGAGAATCTTCAGAATCTTGAGATCTTCAGATTCTTCAGTGTTGTTCGAGTTCTTCGGATTCTTCAGATTCTTAGATTCTTGAAAATCTGGAGGTTTTTTGAGGTTCTTATGATTCGTGATGCTCTTGATACTTTGGAGACTTGAGTTTCTTGAAATTCTTCTGGAGATCTTTGAGGTTCATGGGAATTTTTATGATTCTTATGATTCACTCTATGATTCAGATTCGAAGTTAATGATTCAAGATGCAACATCCAATTAGGATTCGAAGAGAAAAATTCAGGATTCAACATGAACGGAACAAGATTGAGAGATTCGTATTCAGAATGTAGGATTCAAGATACGTTAAGACGTCCAGAATATAAGATTCAAAAAGGACAAGAAGTTTGAAATTGTAAAACCAAGACCTGCTAAATTTTTCTTTAACGATTCTTAAAGATTCTCCTGGAACTTGCTTGCCGGTTGTAGGTCCTGTTCTTTCCGATGTACGTCCTTAAAATCATTTAAATCCTTAAGGTCCTTGAGGTTCTTGAAGTTCTAGAGATTCTTGAGATACCTCAGATTCCTGAAATTCCTAAGATTTGAAATGGTTGAGATCCTTGAGATTATTGATATTCTTCAGACTCTTCAGATTCTTCAGATTCTTCAGATTCTTCAGATTCTTCAGATTCTTCAGATTCTTCAGATTCTTCAGATTCTTCAGATTCTTCAGCTTCTTCAGATTCTTCAGATTCTTCCGATTCTTCAGATTCCTCAGATCACTGAGATCCCTCAGATTCCTCAGATCATGCAGATCTTTCAGATCCTTCAGATTATTAAAATTATTCAGATTATTCGGATTTTTAGAATCTTTTGGCTTCTTCGGATTCATCAAATTCCCTGATACGAGTAGATACATTTAGAAATTTTGGCATTCTTCCAATTTTTTGATTCTTCGGATTTTTTAGATCGTTCACATTGATCAGATCATTCAAATCTTACATATCCCGTACAATTTCATCTAGTGCTTCAGATTCTTGGCATCCTTTGGATCCTTCACATCACATTACCGTTCTGTTGGATCCTCCGGTTTCCTCAGATTGTTCAGATACTTAGGTATAAGTATTCTATTTTCTCGAGATATTTCAAATACCTAGTACCTACCTACCTAACCTCAATTCTTAATTTTATTCGTTTCTTGTTATCCTATTCCCTGTTTTCCAGTAGGATATCATCAGATTGTGCTATCTTAGTGTTTCCTTATTCCTTTTAGCACTTTTCTATCATAGGAATAGGTACTTACTTACACAGTATCGTTTTTTTAATGTTATTCCAGTTCTTCAGTTTCTTTTGCTTTTTTCCTTCACGATATTCGCGTTGTTTGCATTCTTCAGTTATTTCACAACTGACTTGCAGTTCTTTTCCCCGTCCTTTCATGAAGCTGCCTTGAGTTTGTAACTTATTACTCTTTCTTCAGGTTCCTCCAGGTTCGTTATACAAGATCTTCAGGTTCTTCGGATTTTGCAGGTTCTTCAGGTTCTCCGAGTTGTTTATGTCCTGCACGTTTTTTACATTTTTGAAGTTTTTAGGCTCTTCTAGGTCTTCCAGGTTCTTCAGGTGCGTTCATATTGAGGGATTTTGGTGCGTATTGTAGCCAAAAATTTCCCAGCCGGAAAATATATGAATATCCCTCCGCATATCTTAGGTAAGGGGTCGAGAAATTAAAAAAAAATACCAAAATATCTCTCGAATTTTTTCCAGGAGAGACAGCTAAACCTAGAAAAGTTTACTTAGTGTCGCAAAACGCTAAGGACTGCAATAGTAGGACACACAATTATGGATTTAAACATAGGTAATGTGAAGGCCCACATTTTCGGATTTGATCCGAAAGTAGGTAAGCCTATTAAAAAATCGTTACATCGTGTAACATTTTAGGTACTATGTGCGGATTTCCGGTCTGTACAATGCATTTGTCAATTGCAGGTTGATTGCAAATTGCACGTTACGACCAAGTTTAACATGTGCCCAGTCGACCTATTGCTACTATCTCATATAGTAAAAATGGGGTGCCACAGGGATCAATAGCGGGACCCAATGCTATTGATCCAAAAGTTGGGAGACTGTAGAGAATTGTGTCGTTTGCCGATGCAAATGTCGGCGTTATTCAATTTTAATAAAAGAAGCGGAGCTTAAATTACTCAAACAAGAACCGCAATTGCTCCATACGTATACGCCATAATTGGCGGTGCATTTGACAACGTATCAGGGAAAAAATGGACTACGACATCCAGTGTACATTATTTGTTAATTTGAAGTGGATTGGAACTAAACACATACCAGTCGCATGCATCAGACGTAGAAAAAGGGTCTGATTGAACGATAACCGAACGATCATTTAATGTGCAAATCCACGTCGCCAGGGCTTATTCTTGACGAAGCCGAGTTGTAAAATATACCAAAGGTATGGTTACTTGAACATCCCAACAGATTATACCACTCATAAGAGACCAGGCCACACCCTTTTCCACGTTTCACCCCACTTATATAATCATAATGGACACGCCCCCATTACGAGCTTTGCTAAACGGCCAGAGGTGTCAGTTTCGTATCGACGTCTTCTCGATGACGGTTTTTTTTTTGGCGTGTGTCGTTTGCGCGCCGAACGAAAGTTATAATCCACGGACGGACTTCGCTTTTCGAAATTGGCGGCGACGGAGGCAGCGCCGCCGCGTTCGAAATTTCGGAAGTAGGTCGGATCTAATTTACTTTATAGGTCTAATTTTTCTCCACTAAACCTACTACTCGAAGAGAAGATCGGATCGTCTACGAAATAATTGGCGAATTGTAGTTTAAGCTTAAGCAGGTAGAGGAATTCCAGTTTTTATTTTATCATTGAATGCGACCACCACGTAAGACGATACGCGTTGAACGCTATTTATACCGCGCCAGGGATTTTGCGCTCTGGTAAGAAATAAAATTTCAATTGTTTCTCCTCTATAACAGTGGACGTTTATAAATCAAATTTCGCTCCTTTTTGACATGCAGTTTCCCTCTTTAATCCGACTTTTTCTACCATTAGTTTTTCTTTCCCTAATGGTTTACAGACCTTCTGCAGGAGTGCCTCTAAAGTCTAAAAAGCATTATGAGGCTCACTCTGTAATTGGGCCTATTGAGAGCCCAGAACATGAGGGAGACAATAAATAAATAAATAAAGACAGAAAGTCCTTCGCCTCAGTGCAAAACGCAAAAGACACAAAGCTTTTTCTCGTCTAACGTCAGACGTTTTTGTGGAAGAATATACCTAGCACAGGGGGTGGTATGGAATACCCCCTGCAATATGAAGATTTGATTACTTTTCGCTATGATCAAGACCTCCATTGTCGAGAGTTGCGAAAAGGTAATCAAATGTTCGATTTGCCGAGGGATATTCTGCATATGCGGTGGTCTGGGGGGTATGGAGTACCCGGCAGCGATACGCAGATTTGATTACTTTTCGCAAATGTTACCAAAAGGGGTGGTATTAAGAAAGAATACTTCTTTTGCGCAAAGGTCATCAAATCTTCGCAATACTGAGGGGTATTCCAGGGTGTTATAATATCCCTCAGTAATACCTACTACGAAGATTTGATGACCTATTGTCAAACGCTACCATGGAACTGGTAGGGGTAGTAAAAATGATCAAGATCTCTTTTGCCGAGAGTAGGTATGTGTACTACTTTTATGAAAAGGTAAATAATCCTCGTAGTAGTGGGGGGTATTCCATACCATTCTGACTACCCGGTACTACGTTTTCCCACATAAACTGGAGTAAATCCGATGGCACTTTCTTGCAAATTATCGTATGGGCGTTAAACATTAAACGTTTTTGTGGATAAATCTAGCACCGAGGGGTCTGGAGGTATGGAATACCCCCCCCCCCCAAACGAAAGAAAGACATCGCAAACATTAGGTATATATGGCAGTGCTAGAGGTACCTACCTAGGTACTATATTAACAATGATCAGGCCGCATCCTTTGCCGAAGAGGGAACGGGGGGTTAGATGACGAAAGCTTTTTATTTTCAAACTACGCGCAAATTGTAGATTGCGCTACTGGCGTCACAAGACGGCCGTTGGTTGGTAGATATTAATATATAATGAACTCGCGCGGTCTTAGTTTTCAATTCAAAGACACTTTTTCGCAAAGGAAAATCTCCATAAACGCTGACGCTCGGTGACGCGCGGCGGAGCGAAGCGCCTTATTCGCTTACATTGCCCCCTCCCCCCTCTGGTGACCTCACAAAGTTACCATGACAGTGATAGGGGTAGTATTAAACAAGTATAAATTGTGCACAACTCTTGTGCAGATAAAGCGAATTTTTTCAAACAGAAGTAGCATGCTATATTTATCGATGTTTTTTTTCTTTGTGCATAATTTACGAGGAGGGGGCTCTATACACATAAACATTTACAGGTCGCCTGTCATACATTCAAAATCTACGCTATACAGAGTGTTTCATAATTGAATGTCAATATTTAAGGGGCCGATTTTTGGGTCCATTTTAAAAAGAAACGTTTTAACTGTTGAGATACAGGGTGGTAAAGTTTTCAAAAATAAATCATTTAGGTAATATTAATATCTGTAATACCACCTTAGATATTTTAATGAAATTTGGCATGTATGTACTATGTATCCAGAGGCATTTTTTAACGTACCACATTTTTTTAATTTTTACCAGTGGCGTACGTACGGAATTTCACATGCCCATTTTGGCAGACATTGATGGTACGCCACTGATTTCGCTGAAAATAAAAATTATTCTTGAAATCATTCCTATCCAATCATTTCTAAGCAAATTTGATCCCTTTGTTTTTTTTCAATCCGATGCAAGGTTTTCGCTTAAAAAAATAAAAGCCGTTTCTCTGCATGATCATGACACTATGGTTAATATGACAATATCACCGTGCAGAGAAAAAAATATTTTCTTTTTTTACGTGAAAACCGTTTGTCGGATTGAAAAAATCAAATGATCAAATCTGCTCATAAATGAAAATATTTTTTTCACCAACATTTTCGAGACACTGAAACCAATGGATATGTCTCGTCCTGACGTTCCACTTGCCCTTTATGAGTACCCCTTCCGACACTTCGTTTCCAAGATATTCGCTTCGACTTCATTAATAAATTTGTCTCGTGTAGACAATTAATGTTGCCTTTGCTGGTACCTACTTTCCTCAGCCGTTTTCAAGATACGCGCCCTTAACGGTTTGACATCACCAATAGATATATTTCTTCCAGACGTCCCAATCGCCCTTTGTGAGTATCCACGATAAGGGGCCGAGGAGGAGGACGATGGTTGGTAGAAATTAATTCCTTTCATTGAGACCTTTCATTAGAGTACCATGAAGGATAAAACCAGTTCCACCCCCCCTCCCCCCCATCTCTTTTGATAAGGAGTGAGAAAAAAGAGCGGTAACTGGCAGAAAACTGTACCTTCTGTGGAGACCTTTCATTAGAATATCATGAAGGCAAAATTAATTTAGAAGTAATCAAATCCTTGTAATGCCAGGTGATATTTTATCCCCCCCCCCCTCCCAACCCACATGACTTTTCTCAAAAGCTACTATGGCAGTGCTAGGGGTAGTATTAAAAAAAACCATGTAGCCTTCCTTTGCCGAGCGTATTACAGCTTTGCTAAAATCCTCGTAACGCTGGGGGATGGGGTGAGGGGGGGGGGTGTATTCTATATACCCGGCCTCCCGGTACTACGATCTCTTACAAGAGTAGGATAAGCTTGTTATACGAAAATTTGCTGTCCTTGTCGCAAAAGTGACTACGAGGATATGACAGTGCTAGGGGTGCTATTAAAAAATGATCAAATCTTCGTTTGCCGAAGTACTACTTCTGGGGAGTATTCCATACCAGTCGTTTTTGAGGAAGAATACCTATAGCACCATGGGGTACTACTCTTTCTCTCTCAGAAGACTATAGTGAGTTCGATGGCGTTTCCTCACAAATGATCTTATGAGTAACATTAGAAGTTTTTGTTTAAGAGGGGGAGGGGGGGGGGGTTGTAGCGACACCAATATTTCAGTGGTGGATTCGGCAGGGGGAAAAATGGTCAATTTCCCCCTATGACTAGCCAAAAAAGTTTTGACGAAAGGGCAAAACGCACCCTTTCAATTGTTATAGACAACTTAATTTACAGTAGTTCCGTTGCACCACTTCCTATCTTTCTAAAAATGGGGGATGGTGTTTTCGAGCGAGGGAAGTTAAAAGTTGTACATTCGCAATGTGCTCCCCTTGAAAAGTATCTCTGGATCCGTCACTGGCAGATTTGATGAACTTTCTGCAAAAGTTGCCATGGCAGTGCTATGGGAAAAATGATCAAATCTTTCTTTGCAGTACTAGGTACCTTGGGGGGGGGGGTGTTCCGTACCCTACAGACCTCCGATGCTACGTTCTCTCACAAGAGTATAGTACCGTCGATATGGCGTTTCCTCGTAAATTATCGTATGAGCAACATTATATGTTTTTGAGGGCAAAACATACCTCTGGGGAGGGGGGGGGGATGGAACACCCCCAGCAATACGAAGATTTGATGACCTTTTCGAAAAAATTAGTCTGGCAATTCTAAGGGTAGTAGGTATTAAAAAATGATCAAGATCTCCTTTTCCGAGAGTACAATACTCTTGCGAAAAAGTAATCAAATCGTCTTACTGTTGAAGGAAGGGTGAGGGGGTATTCCATACCCTCTAGACTTCCCGGTACTACGTTCTCTCACAAGAGTAGAGCAAGTTTAATGGAGTTTTCTTGCAAATTATCGTATGAGTAACTTAGACGTTTTTGTGGAAGAATTTTGTACTGGGGGTTCTCCATACTCCCCATCAATACCCCCCAGCAACATCCACATTTGATTAACTTTCCGCAAAAGTTACCGTGGTAGTGCTAGGGGTAGGTACCTATATATTAAAAAATGATTAAGTTCTCCTTTGCCGAGAGTACTACTTTTTCAAAAAGATGTTCTAGTTATGGTACTTTTTCGCGCATATTCTAAAAGGAAAATGAACGCTATTGTCCGTCTGTCCGTCTGTACCACTACTAGTCCTCCAGTTTAAGCTTTTTCATTGTGGTTTCTTCTTTACAGTACAGCCCAGAAGCCAGAACGACAAAAGTTTATTTGGATTGGTCACTTCCTTCTCGAGTTATTACTGATTTCGTGCGAAGAAAATACTCTTTCGTCCGTCGCGCGAGTGACCACGTTTTTAACTTGTTTAGATTTACATTTACATTTACCTATATTTGTCTTTCTCTAATCTAGAAATCAATTCCCTTTCTTGTTAACACATTTGATACACAAGCCACTTTTCTAGCAAGATTCGATTTTAGAAAACGTGAAACCCAGAATTAAAAACGGTTTGAACGCTTTTGCAATTCCAAAAGGGTTTTGGACACATTTTTAAACGATTGAGGAAAAACATTTAAAAAAAACCATCCCTATTTCAAAAAAAGAGGATTTATTACATAGGCATGTAAAAGATAACCATAATGTATCTGAAGTAGCGTACAAAGTTTCAAAAACTTTAATTCTAGAAAAGTTTTGACACTCCATATAGAAAAAGGGTGGTTTTTCGTCCAAACACCCTTTAAAATCATTGCTACAGTGTTTGAACAGAAGGAGGTTCTTCGTAACAAAAATAAACAAACAAATTATCTCGAAATACTAGAAATAGATTTGTGCCAAAAAGTAAAAAAGAAATTTGGCTGGGCTGGGTATTTTTACCATTTTTGGAAACCGTCTCCAATGGTCCTCATACCATTTTTCGTTGTCAGAAACCTTTTTGGCATATAACTGCTGCTTTTTCCAGATTTTATTATTCTGTTTTTTTTTTGTTTCTCCAATACTTTCTGAATTCGATTGTTCTTGGAATGTTTTAAGATCCATATTGAAATGTTAATATTTTTGCTATTTTTTTAATACTTAT